TCTAATTGGTTGAAAATTGCAGCAGCCTATTTTAGAGGATAGGAAATTCTGAAGTGCAGAATTCGGAGCTTAAAATGTGTGGTATGATACAGATAAATGAGATTTTTTTATTTTACAATTAGAAAGTTAAAACTTTGTTTATGATTAATTTTTATATTAGGTATATATTCGTGACATGTTTAATGACATTCATTGATAATAAGGTTGTTTAATCAAGTTTTGAATGTAACACTATAAAAGGTCGTGGCATGTGCACTTTAACCTGGCCGTACCTTAAAATTCTTCTCGTGAGAATAGAAAGGCTGGAGGGGATCTGACTAAAGTGTTCAAAATTATAGAGAATAGATAGGATTGTAACATAATCTTTTTTTTTTTCATATTCAATGGTAAGAAAGGTAGATCTAAGGGAATGTAGATTCTAGATTTGGCTGAATAGACATTATCTGCAAGTTAAGAAATTTTATTTTTTGAACAGGGTGGTCAGCCATTGGAATGAATTGCCTTTAGATGTGGTATATGCGATAGGATTGGACAAGATCAAGAGAGGGCTTGATGAGTACTTGGAAAGTTGGCTGGTTATAGACAAGAGGGGCATTTGATGAAATGAATTCTCTGTTTGAGAATCCATGTTGGCTTTCATTTGTAACACCATGTTTCAGTAAAGTGTTTTGTAAAGCTTCTTTCATGAAACTCTGAAGAATTTTTCCCTCTACAGAAGTGAGAATGATTAAACAGTAATTTCCAGGGCAAATTTATGACCCCATTTTCAAAATTGAAGTAACGTAAACAACTCCTCGGGCACCCACCCATTCTCTATCGACTTACTAAAAAATGAAAGAAAGATACTTGCATACCTGATCGTTGTTCTCCTTTAAAACCCTGGGAAAAGCCCAGCCTTGGTACGTTACCCATTTTTAATTTCCCAGTATTTCTACTAACCACAAAGGGATTAATATTTACATTATTCAGATCAATTCCAAGATTTTCTAAAAAAATTGTCAGGTTCAGAAATAATATCTTCTCTTATAAAAACAGTAGAGAACATTTAAATGGTCAACTATTTCATAACCTTTAACTACACTTTGCCAATAGCATCCCTTCAGGATCCAATTCCCCATTCTAACATTTTGCTTACCTATAACATACTTAAAAAATTCTTGCTGTTTAACATTATAAGCCACTTTTTTCTCATAAACCCTTTTAGATTTTCTAACCTTTCTGTAGTTCTGTAATTCTTCCAACTTATCGTTCAAATTAAATTTCATAAACTTAAGCCTTTATACCCGAGTTTCTGCTTTATGTCTTTAATAAGCCAATTAAATGTTATGTTTCCTGTTGAGGATTTCTTTTTTTTAGGAACATGACTATCTTATTTTTAAAACGACAAATCCCGTACCATGTTTTGCCTCACTTTCCCAATTTAGTAATGCTACATCTTTTCTTAGGGGGCTCAAAATAGGCTTTTTGAAAAGTAGGAACTAAAATTTCATTAAATTTTATACAATGATCACTCTTCACCAAAATGACCTCTCCCCTGGTTAGCTGTCTTCCGTTTGGTACAGAAAATCATGGTGAATCACATCAAGAAATCTCTCTACCTCCCTAGTTGACTCCATAACATTCCACTCAGTGTATCGAAAATTAGCCTCTCATTATTATTGCTTCAGTGTTCTTAGTACAAACCCTGATCCCATTATACAGTTTTCTGATATTCCTTCTGTCTGATCACCTATAAAAATTTTTAGCTTAAAAATTTCTACCTTTGAAACCTGTGTATATTTACTTCACTTGTATAAATAGCCCTCCTACTCCTCTTAAGACGTCATTTTATTTTTCAAATTTAACAAATGTTTAGTAATATCATAATATGTAACATTTAAGGCCAGCAA